TCAAAAAGCTTCTGTTGATGTCCCTTACTCTGTCATACCACAGTGCTGTTTGTGAGAAGGGGTTTTCCCATGTCAGCATCATAAAAAAAGCAATTTCACGATCCTCCTCTCAGCCTCACGCCTTTCTGCTCTAATGCACATTCATATGTATACGATGACACCAAAGACATTTGATCCCCAACCGTCTGTTGAATTATGGCTCCAGGCAGTGAAGAGCAGGCTCAGACAGGGATCTGAAAGACATGATCAGAGCGCAGCAGCACATCCACTGAAGTGACAGAGGAGGTGCAAGCAAGCAGCTTTGATGATGATCACAGCTGATCATAGATGACGTCTGTGAAAAGCAAACCATTTCTGCTGGTACTGAGACTGAAACTGATCTCATTTTCTTTTTTGATTGCCAGTGTATAAGTATATGCAGCATTTAAAAACACATACACATACACATAAACAGCACAATAATAATTGCATATAGAGACTTTAAAAAAGGACCTTATTTACCAGAATATAAGCCACACTTTTCCCCCAAAATTTCAGGGGAGTCGTACAACTGCTGCTTATTTTTGAATACAAGTAAAAAATTTGGGAAGTTGATCTGGTTGTTGACATATTTACCACCAGAGTGCTAAACAGTATTGAACTGTTTGCGCATACTGTAACAGACTGACATTTTTGCTTGGTGTGTTGTTGAAATCAACTGATAAAGTTTTACATTCATTTCTAATCATCCAAAATGAACAAGAGATCACAGTACACCATTTCATTCAAGAAGGAGGAGATCCTGTGTGCTTAACAGCCTGAGAATCATCAGGTAAAGGAAGAGCTCTTGCTTGAAAAGGGAAGCAAGAAGAGTTTAAAAAGAAATAAAGCATGATGTTTATCTGCACATTATTTTGTTTTTTTTTGTATTTTAAACTACTCTGCATCATCCTTTATTTTTTATTATTCAATTTTAACCATTTCTGTTCAGAAAGGTAACTTGGGTTTTGTAATTAAAAAAAAACAAAC